AGGTGTGGAAGGAGGTCTGGACACTCAAACAGCTAAACTGCTTGTACCGAGCTGTTTTTCGAGTGACACATGAATCGAATGAAATTATAAGAAACGTTATTCCTGACAGTTTTAAGGAACAAATAAAACAATTAGAGTTTGTGCATTACAATGGGAAGGATATTCCCATATCTAAACCATAGGGTGGAGATATTATGAACTTTGTTTATGTGATGGGTCTAGCAGGATTTAGTTATAATCACCCTCGCGTTTGGTGTACTGCTCATAAAGATGATCTTAAGCAGGCTGATCTCACATCTTGCTATGACACTGGAAAGAAAGCCAGAAGTTTATTCGAACAAAAAATGTGTCTAAAAGATCCGGAAGCAAAGAGGAAAAAAATATCTGAAAATCCACTGGGTTACAAATGTGCGCCAGTTTTTGATGATTTATTTGAACTTAGTGATTATGTAATTGATACTCTTTACATGAAGTTACGTATATACGATTACATCTTAGACGGAATTCTCACACGTGCTTCGCAGCAAAAAAAGTACGATGTTGCTCATGTAATCGAGATGGAAGAGAAAATACAAATTCTCAATAAATACTTAAATGAGAAAAAAATAGGAAAAAGAGTCTGGTTTAATTTTGCCGAAGACAACAAGTATGGTGGCAAAGATAAAGATAATACAGTTATACAATTAAATTTATTTTTTCTAGATTATTGTTTAGTGTGAAAAGCTACAAAACAGTTATGTTGTGGTTGAATGCATAAATGTAGTTCACATTTAGAACACGTCCATTGCGTTTTCAACTCGCATTTTTCATATTTACAACGTAATCTTGATTTTACAAATTTTGGCCAGTGTTCATTACATATCGTTTTTCATTGTGTGTAAGATGCACGTAAGGCAAAGATCGAGCAGAATTTAGTTTTCTATATTTTACACACCATTCGATAGAGAATCGCGCGCTGATCACGAATATGTGTTCCCGGCCTCTCAAAACCGTTTCCTCGCTGAGAAAATTGTAAAATACTATGAAGAGGTCAAAACCCGGTTTTTCACGCCTTTTTTTAAATTTGAGTTTTCTAAGTCTGGTTACAACTTGGAACGTTCAAACTCAGATATTCTTATTCAGCGTTGAAAAGTGAACCAGAATATGGAATAAAAGGCTTTATATATCTAAACGCCTATTCGCCAAAGACGTAAAAAGCGAAGCGACTAAAACACACGTCTCATTTTAGCAAAAACGGCAGGTGCTTTTTGGAGAGTCCCGGAGTCAATATTTTTACATAATTAGATTCACCGGAAGCTCTTCATCAAAACAACGGCTCGCTTTGTTCAAAAATTTGTTTCATTCCTGAGAAAGTACATTTTTTCTGAATCAGAAGCGAAAAAATCGTAATTCTGCCCATAATTCTCTATTTTCTCCATCAGAACTCATTCTTTATGCAATAAAAATATCATATTCGGAGTTAGGATCGAAAACCCAATCGAATGATATACTTTTTCACCCCATTCGACCACCTCTGTTTTTTTTCGAATTTTCACGTCGAAGAATCATGCCCAAATTCAAGTACAGTTTGTGTATTGAATACACAAATTGTACTTGAATTTGGGCATGTATGATTATTACTAACGCTAAGCCACCGGATGCACTAATAGTACAAATACCGCCACCTATAATCGAAACAAAGTCGACGTTGCACATAATTATATTTATTTTCCTCTAAGCGAAACTGTGGCAACCGAAAACAGTAACAATTTGAATTTGATAGTGAACACTGTGTAAGATATGAACAAGTAGCGGCATTGCATTATGCAACAATAGAAACATAGGCTATGCAGATAGCAAAAACAGTACAATAATTTATAGAAACTGTGATATAAAACTAGTTTACCAGTAGTAGTTAGTGGTCTTGATGTGTCCGTTGTACGAGATGTGGTGCTAGGACCTAAAAGAACAGAACAATCAAATTTTATCCACTACAGTTTTTTGTTAAATCTGGTATCCGACCACCGGAATATATAAATAAATTAACTGAATAGGCGAATATAAAATGACTGGAGTTTGATGTTGAACCAAGTTGTAATAGACCATATATGTAAATATTATATAGTGTTATATATAATATAACATTATATATTATACATTATTATATAATATATAATAATGTTAAATATTATTATAGTGTTTTACTGGTATAATTTTGAATACTTCCAAATAAATTCACAGTGACTGTATATGAACCATAGATTGTCGTTGTCAAAGTCGGACTATTTGAATTGGAACCATAAATTGTTATAATTGATGAT